TTTTCTTTTAAGAAGTGAGGGTGATGGGCACCTGGGTGACTCAGTTGAGCATCTGACTTCAGCTCAGGTCATGATCTCATGGTTTGTGAGTTTGAGCCCTGCATTGGGCTCTCTGCCATCAGGGCAGAGTCTGCTTTGGATCCTCTGTCCCCTCTCTTTCTGCCCCTCTCTGGCATGTGCGCTCGCTCTCTCTCCCTCTCTCTCAAATAAGCCTTTAAAAAAAAGAAATGAAGGTGATATTTTGAAGAGAAATATAACTTTTAGCAACTTACTAGTATTTATATAGATGTAGATATTGTAAAGTTTTTTATTTGTATCTTTAAATTGCATCACTGATGCAACTATGAATTATTGCTGTAAATGTTATGTACCCATTTTCTTGATCATATAAACCCAAAATACCTAGTAAATATCTGGAATTCTATTTATGCCACATAAAGAAAGAAAAAGATAACAGGAAGCTAATAAATGGGATATGTACAGTAGAATATACCCAAAATAAGATAATGGCCTATGAATATGTTAGAAATGAGCATACTTAAGAGGAGGTAGGAAAAAACAACTTTTAGCGGGCATAACTGTAAACTCAGAGAAAGGAATTACTTCCTTGTTTACACTTGGGCTTATAAGACATTGGAACTACATCCAGTTGTTTTGAAAGACTTTTGTCTGTCAAGAGAAGTTATGTAATACAGTGATTTAAGAGCACAGCTTATGGAGTTAAGCATCTTGGGTTTAAGTCTGTTTTGCCATTTGCTAGCTGAGTGACATGGGGCATCACATTCTTCAAAGGTAAAATGAAGATAATAGACCTTCCTCATAGGACTCTTGCAAAAATTGAATAAGGTAATAAATATTAAGCTTTTGAAAAATTTCTGGCACCAAGAAACTGCTGAATATTAGATATTGTATTGGTTATCTATTGCTGTGTAACAAACCATCCAAAATTTAGTGGATTTAAAACAGCAACCACTTTATTTGCTTAAGATACTGTGGACCAGCAATGGCTGGACTCAGCTAAGTGGTTCTGCTAGTCTTGCCTGGGATCACTAATGTGGCTGCAGTTCCTCTGGCAGGTTGATGGGGGCTGGAAAGTCTAATATAGCCTCACATGTCTTTGAGTTGGTGTTGGTTGTCAACTGGAGTGCAGTGGTTCTCTTTTCTATGGCCTCTTGAGCAGGTGAGCTTGGACTTTTTCATATGGCAGTCTAGAGTAAGAAAGAGAGTAAGAACTAAAGCTGCAAAGCCTTGTATCAGGAGGCCCCTAAGATCACCCACAGGTTGGATGTCTGCTAAGGCTCAGAGGACTCAGCATCTAGTTGTGCCCATACCTCTAATTTATTACAGCAACAAGATGCTAAACAAAATCAACAAAGAGCGAAGCTACATGGGGAGACGGTGCAGGAAGCAAAGTCCTGGGGTGATCAGGCATAAGCTTATAGAAGTCTGTTCTTAGTGGAGTCACATAGGACATGCTTAAGTCCTCCAGCAAAATGTCTTGACAACCCATATGAAATAGTGTCTATCAGGAAAACTCTTTAGAGACGCAGTGCCCAGGGTACTGATGTAGGTATCCTCTGTCTGTGTTCTAAAATTCCAGACTCAGAAAGAAAGCATTGTTTTCAGCATAAACTATATTATTTGTATAAACAGTTTAGCCACAGTGAGCCACTCTTACTGGGAACCCTCCTGAATTCTGAATTCCCAGGTGCAGCCAAGGGCCAACCTTGTAGGCAGGACTTTCAAAAGATAGATATCAGGCATGCTGTAGTAACTCTTTTTTTTTTTTTTTTTATTAAAAAAAATTTTTTTTTTTAGCGTTTATTTTTTTGAGACAGAGCATGAACGGGGGAGGGTCAGAGAGAGAGGGAGACACAGAATCCGAAACAGGCTCCAGGCTCCAAGCTGTCAGCACAGAGCCTGACGCGGGCCCCGAACTCACAGACCATGAGATCATGACCTGAGCCGAAGTTGGACGCTCAACTGACTAAGCCACCCAGGCGCCCCTGTAGTAGTAAGTCTTTTCAACATGGGCCTTTTGTGAGCCAGGCTTGGAACTCCCATGACGTCATTCTTGCCATATTCACTTGGTAAATCAAGTCACTAGACTGACCCATATTTAAAAGGGTAAAAAAGTAGACCAGTTATTTTGGGATAATGTAGGGATGGGAGGAAATTGGTCTTTTTCTTTTTCTTTTTTTAATTTACCACACATATTACCATCTATCTCAAAACAAATATAACAAATATTTTGAAACTCCTTTACTTAGCTATGTCTGTGTCTATAATTACTAAGTTTATAGAATTTACATATCTGTTTTATATGAATTTTCAGACTGAAGATTGGATTTTGTTATTTTAAAAGATTTGGCTTAAGAAAACTAAAGGAGAGGAAAATATGATTGTGCAGAAGTTGTGTTGTTCTGTTTTCCTAAATTTAATTAAAAGCAATCTTAGTAAATATGAAATGACCTTTCATTCACTACTTATTTTTCCCTAACTCTGCTTTCTTACACATGTTAAATATTAGTTTCCAATTAAAATAAAGCTTTTTAACATTGCATTTTGTTCTTTCAGAGAATGGCTGTGCTTAATCAAAAGTCTATCTTGGATATGATTAAAGAGTTCAGAAGGAATTGGCACATTCTTTGTGACTCTGAGAGAACTACTGTATGTGGCGCAGACTCCATGCTCTTGGCATTGCAGCTTTCCATGGCAGACAACAACAAACAGGTTAGTAGACTAAATTTGGGTTTACTTATTTTTTTAAAGTGAATTTTGGTAGCTGCTCATTTTAATTATATCAATTTCTTTGCAGTATATGTCCTCCTATGATAATATCAATATAGTATTTTCAAAAATGCCTCTGTATATCTACATCAAAATATTACAATTGGATTTGAAATGATTTGCTTCAAAATTAAGGCCTTCATATGTATAATTTAACGTAGGACATGCATATTCAATGTTTAATTTGAAATCTTGAGATAAATATGCAACTAGTATTATGGTTAAAAATGTTTTTATTTATGACTTCTTTATAAAGTTCTAGAAGGCATACATAAATTATGTTTATTTTAATATAATTGAAGTCTTTTATGACTAATTTCAGACTCAGTGCTATAGATTGATTATTCTAAGCCATGTTATGAATCAGAATTACTTGGGAAGGTTTTTAAACAAATCTTGGAATTTCCAGTCTTGGAAATTCTGATTCTTGTAATCTGCACTGAGACTCTGGAAATTGTCTTTTTAAAATCTTTTCTTAATCTGATTCTTATGTAGTTGGCTTGGACCAAACTAGTGTTTGGAATGAGCTGTACCTAAAGGTGTTCAGATGAGAGAAGGATGAATATAAGCTGGAGTGGTAAGAAAATGATTTAAAAATTTTAGATTTTAGGTGATGTACTTAAAGGAAGGGGAAGTCTTTGGATGGCAAGGTTTTAAAGAAGGGATGAAGGAAGGGAAAAGTCAGTTAAGAAGCATCCAGAGGGATCAAAGTCTTGATGGTTTGAATATAACAAGGAGAATGTCTCCTAATATGAAGGGTGGAATAGTTTCAGTGGGCCTGTTGGGCAAGATAGTGAGTGAAATGACATTCTGATGAGTTATTTTAATCTGTTATGTCAGTAGGTTCCAGATTTTTAGATTTAATATACCAATAAAAGTTCCAAAGAAGTATTATACATTGACAGATTTGAACATTTGTCACATTGGCAAATAAGACCATTGAGAAAAACTAGTTACTTGGAACCATAATTTTGGAAAAGGAAGAATATTTTAACACCTAAAAATGAGGAATTGTATAATCTTAAAACAAGAGATAGTCTTTGTTATACATGATAGTTGGAAGTTTTGTGTGTTTACAACATGTGTGTATATTTTGGCATATATATTAAGATAAACTTTGAACATAGAAAGATTTTGACAAAATTCTGACATAGTCATTCTTTTAACAAATATTTGAGTTTTTACTATGTGCTAGACCTTTTTCTAAATTTTTTTTTTAATGTTTATTTATTTTTGAGAAGAGAGAGACAGAGCATGAGCAGGAGAGGAGAGAGAAAGAGGGAGACACAGAATCCGAAACAGGCTCCAGGCTCTGAGCTGTCAGCACAGAGCCCGACGTGGGGCTCTAACTCACAGACCACGAGATCATGACCTGAGCCGAAGTCGGATGCTTAACGGACTGAGCCACCCAGGCGCCCCTGTACTAGACCTTATTCTAAACATTCTGAGCAGGGCACCTGGGTAGCTCAGTTGGTTAAGCATCTGACTTCGGCTCAGGTCATGATTTCACATTTTGTGAGATCGAGCCCCGTATTGGGCTCTGTGCTGGCGGTGTGGAGCCTGCTTGAGATTCTCTCTCTCTCTCTCTCTCTCTCTCTCTCTCTCTCTCTCTCTCCCCCTTTCCCTCTCCCTCTCCCTCTCTCCCTCCTTCTCTCCCTCCCTCTCCCCCTCCCTCTCCCCCTCCCTCTCCCCCTCCCTCTTCCCCTCCCTCTTTCTCCTTGCCCCTCCCCCATTTGCATGTGTGCATGCTCTCTCTCTCAAAAATAAATAAAGAAACTTTAAACATTCTGAAGGAAACTATTGCTCTTATGACATTAATCTTCTAGTGGGGAGAGACAGAGATAATAAATAAGATATTTAGTATTTTAGGTCAAGTACTGTAGAGAAAAAAACACAGATTTGCGCTTAAGGAATGTATCGAGTTTGGGGTAAAAGATTTCTTGCAATTTGAAAAAGGATGGTCAAGGAAGGCCTCATCTGCAAGTTGCCATTTAAGCAAAGATTCGAAAAGGAAAAGAAGGAACTAGGCATGGAAATTTTTGTGGGAAGGGACTACCAGGCAAAATGGAAGGGCTCTGAAGTGGGAATGTGCCTGGCATGTTCAAGGAACAGCAAAGAGGCCAACACAGCTGTTTATATAAATGTTAATTGTTAATTTCTTCCCTTTCATTTTCCCTTCCCCCAATTTTTTTTCTTTTCTTTTCTATTTATTTATTTTTTAGCTTCTGTGTGCCAAGCATTGTGATAAGTGTTGAGGTTAAAATGATGAACAAAACCAGACATTCCTCCTGCCTAGCTTATTACCTAGTGGGTGAGGTAGACATTTAGTAGAGAAAAATACAAATAAATGTAAAACTATGGCTGTGAGAAGAGGTGTATGAGGCTGTGAGACCAGGGAGTTGACCTGGTTGGAGAGATCAAGTTGAACTGTAAAGCAAGGAGAGCAGTTAACTAGGCAAAGAGTTGGGGCAAGATGATGAGGATGAAGGAATAGCATATGCAGAGGCCTTGGGCAGGAGACAGTAGGTAGAGTTTGTGAAAATTCAAAAGAACCAGGGTAGCTGAAGTGGTGGTGGTTACATGACCCATTTGTCTGCTTTTTTTATTTTTAATCATAGTCATTGTTAAAAATCAATTCTATCTAGGTATTTGGGAAAAAAAATGGAAGTAGCACTTTTTGGAGTTTGTGTTTAAAAAAAAGTTAAACTTTCAGAAAAGTCACAAGAATAGTACACTGAACTCCTTTATGCCCTTCACTTAGATTCACCAGTTAATATTTTGCTACCTTTGCATCATTCTTTTAATATTTTTGTACGTGTATATAAATACACACATATATATTGCACACATACATACATATTATTCGTATTATTCTATATGAACCATTTGATGGTAAGTAGCAGACACCCTGAATTTTTATCCCTAGACACTCTTGGTGTTGTACATTCTGTGGAGTTTGACAAATATATAAGACATGTATCCACCTTTATAGTATTGTACAGAATTGTCTCCCTGCCCTAAAATTCCTCTCTGCTCCACCTATTTATCCTTCCCTCTCCCCAACCCCTGGCAACCACTGATCTTTTAATTGTCAGCATAGATTTGCCTTTTTCAGAATGTCATGTAGTTGGAATTGTGAAGTATACATAGCCTTTTCAGATTGGCTTCTTTTACTTTCTTTCAGATGCATTCATGGTCCCTCCATGTCTTTTCATGGCTTAATAGCTCATTTCTTTTCAGCAGTGAATAGTATTCCACTATATGAATCTATCAGTTTATCCATTCATCTTTTACTTTCCTTCCAACCAATATTCAATAAGATATTCAATATTTAATAGGTTCTTTAGTTTAATAATTATTGGGTTTGCTGTTACCCTCTTTTTTTTTTTTAATATTTTATTTTTGAGTACTCTCTACACCCAACGTGGGGCTCAAACAACCCTGAGATCAAGAGTCGCGTGCTCTACCAGCTGAGTCAGCCTCTGTTATCATCTTCTTAATTTCCAAGAGCTCTATTTTTTCTCTCTTTTTGAAATATTGTTCTGTTCTTCCTGCAAGCATATAGTATTTCTCCTTTGAGACTATTAATACATTTTTTTTTTTTGAGGTTTTCTTCTTGTGTAATATTTCCTCTAAGTTCCTTGTTTTATTAGTCTTGTTTGGGAAGAGTTTCCTTTCTTCCTACTAGAGACTTTCTTCATGATGATCCTTGACCATCCACTTACATTTAAGTGGAGCACTAAAATGCTTACTGGAAACTCTTCATGGAGTATTAGAGTTTGTCAATCCGACCTAACTGGGCTATTTGGCTGGGGAACATTTGATGCCTATCTCTTTAGGATATCCCTTTTAGAACAGTTTTCTCAGAAAAGAGTCCTCTTTGCCCCTGCACGAATAGTGTAAAGTTGAGCTGCCAAGTGTTGGGTGCTTGAAAGAAGTATCAACATTTAGAATATAAATGGTCATGTGATTCTTATTGTTTCCATTTGGGTACTCTTGTTTTCAATTGAACCCTTCAGTCCAGAGACTGTTTTACTCTCTCCAGGGAATAAACCGCCAATTTTCTGCCAAAGTAGATGACTGTTCTCCCCTTTCTTGGCAGAAATTAATTATTAGACAAAGTCTAAAAGAAGATTATCCAAAGAGGTAAGCACAGTACTGAGGCTACTTCAGAAATCTCTTCACTGGGGGTGCCTTGGTGGCATCGAACTCTTGGTTTTGGCTCAGGTCATGATCTCACAGTTTGTGAGATTGAGTCCCGCCCTGGGCTCTGTGCTGACAGCGTGAAACCTGCTTGGGATTCTCCCTTTCTCTCCCCTTAACCCCCTCTCCTCTCTGTCTCTTTCTCTTTCTCTCTCTTAAAAATAAATAAACGTTTAAAAAAAGAAATCTCTTCCCTGGCAAGTATCTTCATTATCACCTTTTGCTGGGCAGATTTTCTTCTAGTGGACATAGTAAGAGTGTTGACCTTTAGAACATTTATGTATTTATGTATTAATTTATATATTTATTTATTTGTTTCTGAGAAAGAGAGTGAGAGAAAGAGAAAGAGCATGCGCGAGGAGGGCAGGATCAGGGAGAGGGAGAGAGAATCTTGAGCAAGCTCTGTGCCCATCGCTGAGCCCAACCAAACGCAGGGCTCGATCTCTCATGACTCTATCATGTCACGACTAGACATCGTGACCTGAGCCAAAATCAAGAGTCTGAAGCTTGGCTGAATAAGCCGCCCAGGTGCCCTGCCCCATAAAGAATGTTGATGTTTAGAGGCTTTGACTTTATCTGGCAGGGTGGGCAGGGAGGGTCTCTGATGCAACTTTCCACCTTTCTTAGGCTTAGCTTTGTCTCCTAAAACTTGTGCTCAGCGTTCATAAAAACCAGCTTCTTTAGTGTCAGGGAATGGTAGTTACCAGGGAAATATAGGCTCCATCATTTGCTTACCCATC